ATGCAAAATTTCTTACCCCCTCCTTCAACCACTCCTATATCCCCCACCCCCAACCCCAAAAAAAAAAAAAAAAGAAAGAAAGGGGGAATCTGAATCATTGTGCAAATTCCAAAAGGGGGTTGTAACTTTTGCATGGTCATAACTTTTGTAATATACAATATTTTTGTACAAAATTTAAATATATGTCAATTTAAATTTAGTTTGAGATGATAAAGTTGAAAATTTTACTACATCAGAGAGTGCCCTTATGTTTGGGCAGGAGGTTCCAAAAACCTATTTAATGTGATCTAAGTATAAATAAATTTCTGGATTGAGATGCTAGGAACCTTTGTTATAACTAATAATAGTTATTTTGCTCATGGTGAATATATTCTCAATATATTCACAATATGGAATGTTAGCAGACAAGGATGAAGAGGTAAGAAAGAAAGCTGTTAATAAAATTTTGCATTTAAAAGGGCTCATAGAAGTAAAGAAGCTAATTTTGTAAGGGGTTGAGAGTGATGATGAAAATGAAGCCAATGTTAGCCAGAGTGGTTATCACTTATTAAGTTAAGTTGTAAGAGTTTCACTGAAGTTGGAGTGTTGCAATTTTGAAAATATTTGCCAGTTAGATTTAAAAACACTAGTAGATTCGCATATGAAACTGTGTCCGTGTATGGAACACATTCATAAAAGATTTAAAATACAGGTCAGTTTTAAAATTAATCACTGCAAACAAAATGGCCCCTAAAGTAGAAAAGATGGTTGCAGAGAAAAACTACCAAATACCTGGGAAAAAAGTATTAAATTTAAGGTTATTATAATATATATTAAATATAATAATTAAGTACAACTAAATTTGTAGCATTACTTGGAGTTTCATACTTTATGCAATCATCAGACGTTACAAACAACCATAACAACAACAAAAATTAAATACATAATTATATTATATTATATTATATTACATTATATATATATATATATATATATATATATATATATATATATATATATATATATATATATATATATATATATATATATATATATATATATATTATATATGTATATATATATATATATATATATATACATATATATATATATATATATATATATATATATATATATACATATATAATATATTTATATTATATTATAACTATAATTATATATATATATATATATATACATATATATATATATATATATATATATATATATATATATATATATATATATATATATAAAATTGTATAAAAATTATACTAATTACATATAAAGGTATATAATTTTTGTTGTTGTTATGGTTGTTTATGATGTCTGATGATTGCATAAGCGTGAAACTTCGAGTAATACTACATATTTAATTGTACTTTATTATTATTCTAATATAATATATATTTGCTCTATTGACCAATTAACTACTGAATACCTAACAGTAATAAAAAAAATACCAAATATTCTCCTCAAAATTAAAACTGGTGCTTTGTATTTTGCAATTATTAAAATAATAAGCCAATAAGGAAGATTTATTACACTTTCTACACAACCCTATAAAAAATAGAAAGCCATCAATGTGTCATTGAACAAAAGATAATGTATATTTTCATGTTAATAGTATTGTCATAAATAGAGAAACTAATACCAACTTCAAAATTTCATATCCTTACAGATCAAAAGTTTGTTTCCATTATTTATTGGGAAAAACTTGCTATGGATTTGGTTTTGAATCTCTTCTCAAAGACTACAAACAAACTCATTCTTGTCATAGTAGATGAATGTTTTAAATACCCACTTGTAGAATTAGTTACTTTGCTAAAAACCATGATGCTTAAAACATATAACTTGAAAAAAATCACTTCACTATGTCCGTATTCAATACTAGAATGTTGCTAAAATTATTTATCTATTAGTATGTTTTTAAAGTACAAAAACTTGAAAACATAATTTTTATGGCATAACTTATGTTCAACATTTGTTTTGTATTGCCTAATATTAAATTATTTGTTTTATTTATATACATATACATATATATATATATATATATATATATATATATATATATATATATATATATATATATATATATATATATATAAAATATATATATATATATAATATATATATATATAATATATATATATATATATATATATATATATATATTTATATATATATATATATATATATATATATATATATATATATATATATATATATATATATATATATATATATCCTTCATATTTTTACCCGAATACTTTTGACTTTTGAGTTAATAATGCCTCTAATTTTCCTAAATTTCCAGTTTGTGCTGCTTGAAGTATTTCATGCTCTTTTCCCATCACATAAAGTTTTTTTGATTAACTCTTTTCCATAGTTAAGATTTTACTTTATAAGAAAATGTTATAAATCTGTTATATATGTAATTGTTGTTTTCTTGATATTTCGAAATATTACGCTCACTTAAAAAGTTAAGCGCGAGAATTGTCTTTAATTAAAGCATAACTTTTTTGTTGTTTTTTAAGCATCGAAAAAATTGTCCTCAGTTTTAAATGCTTAATAACTAAATTGAAATTTTTTATTTTGTCTACGTATTTTTTATTTTTTATTTAATTCAATGCAGTGACGGATTCCGAATATCTTGGTGGGTGATTAAGGTGGGGTCCCAGTTTAGAAACTCTCGCAGATCCTAACAACATCATCTTGAACTTGTTCTATAAAAACAGCCAGAATTATTATATGCATATGATTTTAATTAAGCTACTAGGATAATAAGGTAGAAAAAAATCTTAAATCAATTGAGTAAACTCTGGAACAATACTTTGCTATTAAAAAAAAGAGGAAATCACCACGTATTTATCTTGATGTGCAGAAAGTAAATGTTTTTTTACAAATTTTAAAAAATTACATTAAGATTTTTTTTTATAACAGTAGGATTATTTATTAGTGACAAATGATTTATCAGTGACATATTTAGTGCCGTAGTTTTATTTAAGTAACAGCATTAGTCCCAGCATATTTAGTTAAGAGGGACTTCTACTGAACATATGTGAAGAAATTTTTCGATATACGCATTTTTCGATATACGCATGGGAAATTAGACTGTAAAGTAGATTTCCTGATGTAAGTTTTAACTTGATAATAAGTTTTAAGCTAGATATATTTAGAGGCAACATTTCTTCAACATTTCAACATTTTTTTTTGATCTGGACAGTCACCTGACTCTTCCAAACCTTTTTGACCAAAAAAGCGGGATTCTTATTGACGTTGTTGTATTTCTATGAAAGACCTTGTGAACTACAGAAGTTATGCTTGTCGCAAGGTAGGGGAGAAAGAAAATGCTAGCAAATGTTACCAAAAAAAGGTATTAGAGATGGAATAACTAAATAAAAAAGTAGGAATTAGACTGATTTTGTGTTTCTTTAAAACCATAATTTTAAGTTTTCATTATTAAAATAATTTTATCTTTAAGCAAAATAAAATCTTTTTATTTTTCTGAGACCAATAAATATTGAATACTTTTTTTCTATCAATTTGGAACTTTTTTGATGAATAGTTTTTTCCTTCAAAAACGTGAAGAAAAAAAAATGAAAAAATTTTAAATTGAAAACGAAAACGATATTTTTTCAATAATAGAAAAAAATCACGACATTTTTTTAATAATATATAATTTAGACATTTAATATCTAATTTAGACATTAAATATAGAATAAGTGGCAAAATATCTAAATCTATTGGCTAAATCTATTGGTTATCTATTTGGTTATCTATTTGGCTAAATCTATTGGTTATCTATTTGGCTAAATCTATTGGTTATCTATTTGGCTAAATCTATTGGTTAGCTATTTGGCATATAGCTATATAATTATATCGTCGGGGATAGTGCAAATCCGCGTAAGTAGCATTGGCTACTATATTTGGATATTATTAATTTTAACACCAAATATTTATTGTTGACATTACAAAAATCATAAATAATACTCTTTTTACTAGCTTTGAACTTCTTCAGTAAAAAAAATGTACTGTAGATACGCAGTATTATAAAATGCTAGTTACGCGGTTTTGCACTATCCCCGACGATATGCTAAAGATTAGGAAAACAGAAATATTTATATAAGTATTTTAATCTTGCATTTTTTAGTTAGTTAGTTTATTTTGCCATTAAAAATATTTAAAATGTACAACAATATAAAAAGTACAATTGGCTGGAGCAAGAAGAAGGCATAAATTACCCTTATCATCAAGCCCAATGGTATAAATATCCGTAATATAAAAGCAACAGCATTTTAAGACTTTTAAGATGTTAAGAAAAAATAAAGTAATAAAATAATTTAAAAGAAAAAAATAAGAAAAGATTATAATATAGTAATAAAATTGAACGTAATTCAATGTATATATATTTGCTTATTATTTTTTTTTCAAAATAATTCAAAATTAAAATGACAAAATTTATATTCCAATATCATAAAATATATCATAAAATATATCATTACCTACATAAATTGTAGGTAACTTCAAGAGTAAATTTTTTCAATGAAAGTATGATGAAGACATTGAAATTTTTAACATTGACTTTGCTCTTTTCTTAAATGGTCAAGATTTTTATAAATTTTTTTTGAATTTATGGTGATAATTTACTTTAATATCTTCTACAAGTGACAGAGAAAATCTGCTATATTAAAATCCGTAAGTACTAAATAACGTCTTAATTTAGATTTGAATTGCGGAAATTTTTTTTCTTTAATATTAACAATATGCTGAAAGTTTTTCCACAAAATTGGTCCCCCATACTGTATAGAATAAAAACATAACTTTAGATTATATTTTTGAGTTACAAAATTATTTTCTGAGAAGTTGGTGGGGTATTTATGGCTTACTTCTCTAAAATAAGGATAGAATATTGTTGGAGACAGTCGATGTTTCATTTTATACATGAACTGTATGACGAGGAATATGTTGATTTTAAACACATTTAATGCATTGAGTTTACTTAGAAGTGGCTCACAAAGCACAGTTTTTTTTGCTCCAAATACAATTCTAGTAGAATTGTATTTGGAGTAAAAAAAACTTATAAATTTATAATACTATAAATTTTCTTTAACTTTAGCGTAGTATTGGCAAGTTGGTGCATGCCCATACAATATTGCCGTAAGTTAAATAGCTTTGTATAAAAGAAAAATATAGACTTTTTAATGATCTATATCTAAAAATGGTTTTTTTTTATATATCATTGCGATGTTTATTGAAAATTTTCTTTCAAGAGTGCTTATATGCTTTCTCCACGTTAAATTTTCGTCTTAAATAACACCTAAGAAGTTTACAGTTGTTTGCCTTGTAATACTTTTATTATTAACTTTAAGGTTGGGTCCTTTTAAAAGAAGGTTTCCTGTTTTGGTTGGTTTGTGAAATAAAATAAACTTAGTTTTGTTAACGTTAAGTGAAAGTTTATTACAAATAAACCATTCGTTTACTTTTTACTTCTTCATTAACTACTTTAAAGAGGGTTTTAATATCCCTATGAGAATAAAACAGATTGGAGTCATCCGCACACAAAATAAATTTTAATAAGTTCAAGGTAAGAGATAGATCATTTATATAAAGAGAAAACAGTAACGGTCCTAAGATTGAGCCTTGAGGAACTCCACATTTTATTATACTTTTTGTCATTTCCATATTGAATGTATTGATGTCTGTTTGATAAGTATTCTTTAAACCGTAGTAAATTATTGTTTTTTATTCCATAATGTTCAGGTTTTTCTAAAAGAATGACATGGATGACTGTGTCAAAGGCTTTAGACAGATTAGTAAAGACTCCTAATGTAAAACGGTCATCATTGAAGACATTGGTTACATGAGTTACTAACTCGGTCAAATCGTGATCATTTGAATAAGTTTTTAAAGCCAAATTGCTTGATGTACAGCATTTATTTATATGACCTAGATTAACATACAAGTTAAACATTTGTTGTTTTACACAGTTATGAGAGCCCAATTGAATTTTGTTATTTTTGTTACAGCAAATTTCTCGTTTATTTATTTTTTTCAAATATTTTTGCTCTGGCAAATTTGAGTTAATTTTCCCTTTGTATACGCGTGTGCGCGCGCTGAAACGTAATAGTAAATAAAAAAAAAAAATAAAATAAAAATGAATCTAAACATAGTGACAATTATATTACAAATCTAAAAATAGTTACCCTACTGGGGCTCAAAGGAATTATGGATGACAAAGTACTACCCTACGGTTCGTAACAAAACTCTAATATAATCAATATAATAATTGTGTAAATTTATGGTGCTTGTTGGTTTTAAAATAAATTGCCACTAATAAAAAAAGGTTATAATATTTGAATAATTTCTAAGTTGAAAACTTGGTGAGAATTATTAAACAAAATTTTAAAAGATTTAAATTATTTTTTAAAAATTGGCTTTGTTTTACTTATGTAGGTACGTGTATAAAAATTTCAAACTATTTATATATTTGAATTTTATATACCATTAGATATTTATATACCATTAGATATTTATATACCATTAGATACCATTAGAAATGTCTAAAACTAGTATTACAATAAGTAACTACAATAAAGCTCATTTAAGTAACAAAATTTGAACCTAGAAATTTTGAAAACTTGAAAAGTAAAACTGCGACCAAATTTAGAATGTCACATTCTTTTTTTTTTCTTTATGCTACATTTATTGTTTATATTTATACAATATATAAAATAGAAAAAAATAGAAAAAATCGCAGAGAAACGTTTGGATTTGAAAACCTTTAATATGAAACATTTTGAATTTTTTTATTTGCGTGTTTATGTGTTATTATTTTGGGTGTTATGTTATTTTGAATTTTTTTATTTGGGTGGTTTAGGTGCTTGTAGTAATCTAATGGTTGAAAAATTTATTGGCTGCTTTTACTTTTTCCCCTATTGACCCCAGAATTTTCCAGGATATATTTTTTTATTTTTTATTATCTTATTTAAGATTTTTATACCTTAAATTAACGATAATTTGTTTAAAGCAATTTTTTCATTTTAAACAAATTAAATGAATAATTAAATTTTTTCTTATTTAATTTGTTTAAAATAAAAAATGCGTTCTTCTTATCTTTTTCCAGTCAGTAAGTATGTTGTAATGGGTTATGCATAAGTCTTCGAACTTTTTTTATAGAATAGTAAAAAAATATTGTTGGTTAGATAAAAAATGAAACTATATGGTAATAAAGAACATTCATTCTAGTATTTATTAATATATTTAACATATTGAACAGACGCCTCTATCAGCGATTTTTGTAAGTTTTGTTTTAACATTCATCATTAGTCTTTGTAACAGATCTGGATCATTTTCTTTTATTTCATTTAGTTAGCTCTTTATTCTTCGAACTAGTTGACATATGCTACGTGCTCTCCAACCATCACTGTATACCATCTGACTTAAAATAGCATAAAATGTTTCAATTGGTCTACCCTGTTGAACATTTGGTGGATTAGTGCATTTTTGTACAAATTCTAT